GCAAATTACGGGTGTGTATAGCTAATGGCGAAAATGAAAATATTGGATCTGCCGAAACAATGAAAAATAACTATTTGAGCACTGTCTGTAATATAAACTGGAAAAGGCAGCATATATATAATTGTGCAGATAACAAAGTTTTGCTTCTAACATCAAATCCAGAACAACATTTTTACAAGGATTTTCAATTAATTAAATATATGTACTCCATGTTCAATTTTTCACAACGTCAAGGTACACTAATGCTGGAAACTAAATTTAGTTTAAGAATATTTTCCAACAATTTACCTAACAATTTCCAGGTGCAGTCTAGACAAGTTGCTTAGTTTCCCCATTTTGGTACACAAACCATCCAACAAGGAAACTCAATGCATGAGTTGATTCCAGATCCTTAACCACAATCGTTCCATTGAAATGCTCAAAGTAGTCAATAAATAAGAACTTTAACCAAGACCAAAGTGGTCGTTTTTATTAGGAAGCCTTTCTCAATGAAACTACTAAAAAAAAGAGCTTACCTTTAGCCATGTGGGGCAGCTATGCCTATTGCACATGGGGTCAAAGTACAACAACAATCAACAAACCCAGTGGAATCCCACAAGTGGGGTCTGGGGAAGGTAGTGTGTGCGCAAACCTTTCCCCTACTTTGTGTAGGTAGATAGGCTATTTCTAAAAGACCCCCGGCTCAAGCCAATTTGGGTGTCGATCTTGGGTGAGTTGTGAGCAGGCGCGGGAAAGAAAAAGCTTATGCTCCATGCTAAACCAGCGCAGCCAACCAGCTTACTTATTGGGGTCAAAAAGACCTATACTTGATGGTAATGAATATTACCCGAAATGTAGTTTTGAATTTGACCTCCTATTCTAGCCTACACTTTGATTGTATTAAAACCCAAAAGATGGACATAAAAATAAAGAATTGTTCAAACACTAGAATGTAGCAACTTACGTCCCATGGAATCTGGCGCAAAATCTACAAGTGAACCAAACGGGTAGCCTTCTCGCCGATGATGCATCCGGGACATCACAGTGCATAAATGAGCAAACCTAGCCTAGAACAATGGTATATAATGATGAAAAAACACACAAAAAGATTTTACATTTACAAATCTCTGAAAAACTACAAAATTTCCGCTAACACAAGGAATCTACCTGTTCCATTAGATTGCGGACAGCTAAGGCAGGTTTAGGTAGGCCATGAGCTGAGGTTGCACTTTGTACGCCTCCAGAAATGGGAGTTCTGAAAAGCCCGGCCCTTGTACCCCCACCAGTTGATTGCTCAAGGGGTGTAACCACTTTTGGAGCTTGATCCAAACCATTTTTATTTGTTTCTCTTTGATCTGAATTATCCTTCAGAATATGAGAGAGTCCATCACAACAAAGCTGAACTAGCCATTTAGCATAACCAGTAATGGACTATATCAAGGAAAGAGAAGTATGATTCCTCATGCCAAAGGAAAAAAATAAAAAAATAAAGTAAAAAGAGATTCTTCAGAATGTTGAACATTGTTTGGATGGGTGACAAAATATTCAGGTCCGCACTTCTGATCTAAAAACTGCCTCAGTCTGGAGGGAGCTTTTCGGAAACAGCCTCTCTACCTTCATAAGGTAGGGGTAAGGTCTGCGTACACACTACCCTCCCCCAGTGTTTTGGATAGCGTGCGGCGACAAATAGCGACGAGGGCCTGCTTCACTGAGGCGAGAGGCGAACAGCGAAGCGCTCGCCTTTTTTATGTGAAGCGACAATTTATACAAAAAATATAATATATATATATATATATATATATATATATAACTAAAAACTCAATAGCAATAATATATTAATAAATATATCAATTCAAAACTTAAAAATTTAATAGATAGTCATAGTAGATTCATAAACTAAAACAAGCAACATCTATATGCAATTAATTATGCTCTATAAGACTAACTGAAAAAAAGAGTAAATTTTAGGTTTGATTTGAACTATGAAGAAGCTCTGTGTCTGACTGCCTCTGCCCGTATCCATGATTAAAAAACAGAGCAAAACAAAAAAAGAAGAGAAGAAGAAAAAGGAAGGGAAGAAAGAAAGATATAAAGCTAGCTCAAACCTCAAAGAACTCTCTGCTACTTGCTCGAACAACAGCCAAAAAAAAAGACGAAGAAAAAGGAAGAAAGAAAGAAGAAAGAAGAAAGAAAACTGAAGAAAGAAGAAAGAAAAAAGGAAAAAGAAGAAAGATATTTTTTTTGACAGCAATGGTCTAAGAAAAAAAATGGATAGCAGAAACTAGAAGAAGAAAGGAGAAGAAGAAACNCAGCAATGGTCGAAGAAAAAAAATGGATAGCAGAAACTAGAAGAAGAAAGAAGAAATGGACAACATACCTGGGTTATGATGTCGCTGATGAACTAAAAAGAAGATGAAATCCCAAGCCCTAATATTTAGTTTATTGATCGAAAAAACAAATGGCACTGATGGTTGTTGAAGGAGAAAGAAGTGAAAAACCCAAGCCCTAATTTGTATTTTAATCGTCGTTTGGTCGCTGCCTTTTTTTTTTCAAAAAGCGCTGCTACACATCGCCTCGCACATCGCAGCGCCTCTCGCTACATAGGCAAAGGCGCTCGCCTTTCTGAAATCGCCACGCAACAGAGCAAAATGGCGCCGGCAGCTCGCATCGCATCGCCTCACGCTATTAGCGCTGAGGCGAGCGCTATTTACAACACTGCGGCCTCCCCAAACCCCACTTGTGGGATACTGGGATTTCACCGGGTTTGTTGATGTTGTTGTTCTCGTGGGGAGCATGTGGTTTATTGTGTTTATTTGATGCACCAAAAAAGAATCTTCCTGTGACAAAGTGGAAAACTAGATATAGAGGAAGTGGTACAATTTCACGCTCTTTTGGACACATCTATATAATATTTAGAAGAGACGTCTTTCTTGATAAACATGTAGATTATCTTATTAGGAAAGTATTGAATTCCTAGGATTTAAACCGTGTCATTGTATTCGAGAAAATCACCACAATAGAGGACTAAACTTGAGCGATCTCTGTATAACTGAGATGATACAGAGCTTGTACTAAAATTTTAACATTAATCAGTAAATGCTATGAGAAAAATGAGGCATATGCAAGAAAAAGCTTGATATTTATTGACAAGTGGCCTGAATATTATCCAATTCTACCCATGGAGAGGAATTACATGATAATGCTTCTTGCAAATCAAGATGCAAAAAATTTCACCAAATGGTAGGGGAGAAGTTTTACAAAATTTACCAAGCACAAAATATGTGGAGCCATTACCTGAACTAAGACACTAACATAACCTAGGAATAGGATCTGCACGCAAGTGAAACCTGATTTTCCTGAACTAATAGGGATTGAGTTAAGTCCAAGGTCCATTTTCTTTATCATGGTATCAAAGTAAGGCCCACCCAATTCTTGTCTCATACAATGTTGGGTCCCCCGTCTTATATCTGCCCAGTCCTAGGCGTGCACATCGGTTATGGGTGGGATTTTTGGTCTCTTTATATGGTTGGGCAATCCGCACCTAATGAGCTAGCTTTTAGGGTTGAGTTAGGCGCAATATACATACATGTCTTTCTCATGGTATCAGAGTTCAGGCACATCCCAATTTATTTATCTATGTTGGGTAACCATCATATATTGCCCACGCTTCATATGTCCAGTCTTGGGCATACCGGGGTATTGATTTCTCACATCGGATGGGAAATGGGTACTTGGACTCCTTATATGATTTTCATGAGCTAGTTTTCCTGTTTTTGGGATGAGTAAGGTCCAAGGTGCATTTTCTTTTATCATACTTCCACCGTGATCCAAAAACACAATTATGAAATATCTAATACTAGCTATAAAGGGCGAATAATATTAGAAACTGACAAGATAATTAATAAATTCTTATATATTGGTCCGGGACCTTAAAGTGTTAAGGAGAATCACAAAGAAAAAGTTTAAATTTTTACGACAAGCAATGAAGAGCCGAGAGAGAGATCTTACCTGTGACAATGAAAAAATCGGTACAGGAACTAAAAATCCATTATCATTCTTCAAATCATGACTATCCTCTTCTTCGCAGCCGCTTTCACCAGACAGTTCGGCGCGGGTGAGCACTCGTCGGGGAGAGCCGCAGCCGAAGGAGCTCGTAGAAGGCAGGCTAAAACTAACTTTGAGATAACCAGTACTGGTCCTATTAAACGGTTTGATGGATTGAAATGCTGACGGCGTCTCTGAAAACCTAGAGACAAGATTGGAGCTTGAGAGGGCTGCTTCCATGGAGGAAGAAAGAGCGTGTGACGACGCCATGTTTAGGAATTATGGGAAGGGGCGGGGCAATGTGAGCTGAAGTTCAACGTCCCAAAGAGAGTAAAAAAGGTGGCTTTAGCAAAAAGGAGGGCGTCTGCGGAAAGCTAAAGCAGAAAAGCACATCATGGCAAGCCATGGACCATGGTATGTACTTTGCAGCGGCGGAGTTTGATCGGGCCCGGCTAAGAGTGAAAGTTGGGTGTTGATCCGCCTATGCACAAGGGCCCATGGTTATACGGCCCAAATTGGTAAAGCATCTCTACTTCTTTGGTATTTTTACCTAACTATACTATAATAGAAACTTATTTACCACCTTTATTTAATTTCCTTATTAATTACTTTATATATCTATATTTACAAGTAATATATAAAATTATAAAAAAGGAAAAAAATTCAAGATCCCTTAATTTAAGCATGTCAGTTACACGACACCCGCCCATCATTTCCAATAATCTCCCCTACATTTAAGATTCTGTTTCTTTTCAAAAGGATGTCAAAAATATTTTCTCTTTTTTTTTAATAATCATCCAAAATCTCTCTTTCAATTTTATATCCCCCCCTCCCCCCTCCCCACACACACACATACAAAATTTTCGATTCTTTTCTTTTTCCAAAGGTTTTCAAACTCAATTTCTCTCTCTTACTAATCACCCAAAATCTCTATTTCTTATTGATACAATTCAAACAAAAAAATCATAATATTGCTAAAGAATCAATACATAGGTAAGTTTTAAATCTTATTTTTTTTCTTTGTAAAATCTTTATTATATGTGACTTATATATGATACATCAATACCCAAAACAATACTTGATACGATACTAATACAATTATAATACGATTATATTAGATTTTTAGTGTAGAGTTGTGATTAAAACTTGAAAAAGATGAAGATCATAATTGTATCACAAATTTTCATAAATCTATCGCGATTGTATTATAATTGTACATGTATCATAATTGTTGAAGGAATTGTATTACAAATGTATGATAATTGTATACTCATTGTATATTTTTACGAGCAGTTGTGAGCTCGTAACGAATTTCATAATTTATATCACAAATATATGATAATTGTACATTAATTTATTTGTGTTGTATCATGTATTAGTTTGTGTATTAATGTACCATATATAAGTTAAATATAATTGTGATCCAAGTATGATACAATTATGTTTTAAGCGTTGATATATCTGGTACAATTCAAATATATATGATTCCTGAATATTTCTTCATTTTCAGTGTTGTCCAGTCTCCCAGCAAAGAGCGATACAATTGGCGATTTTTTAATAATATAAAGTTGTCGGCAATGGTGGGAAGAGAGAAGATGGAGATTATGGGTGTAGATTAAGGGTGATGTAAAAACAAAAGGAAGGAGAGAGAAGAGGAGAGGGGAAAAAAAGAGGAAATGATGTAATTGAATCCCTTAATTGAAGGTACAAACAATGGGATGAGAGCCTTTTAAGGAGCAATATATACAATTTGTAAGAAAAACCTAGATACTTATTAAAAACTACAAAACATAGAAAACATAAGTAAATAAGTTTCTAATATAGTAAACAGTCCCTACTTCTTTTGGTTGAAGAATTAACCAAATAACTGTCTACCTAATATATTAAATTAAAATATATATGTGTGTGTGTGCGCGCGCGCGCGCATGCATGCATGCATGTATAATCTATGTATATCGCCTAAAATAAATAAATAATAAATTTGGTCGGCTATTTGTGTAACAATTCATTTTCTTTTCAGTACTTTTTCT